TCAATATGTAAGACACGTGCAGCCCCAATGATTATAAAATAAATGTGAGCTGTAACCCCTTTCTTTAAAAAGTTTATCGTAAATAAATAAATAAATAAAATTCAGTGCCAGAGTGACTTTTTACCTACTTTGCTCATGTAATCATTACCTTTGCGAAGAAAAATAATAGCTAATATTGCTAAACACTTTATGTCTGCTGTTTTATTATACTAACTCCCTTAATGCTTATAAGAATGTTATGAAATAGAAATTATTATTCTCAGATTATAAATGAGAGCAAACCAGGACTCTGGAGGTTAAACATTTTGACCATGATTTTAGCTAGTGGATACTATTATTTCTTCCTCTTTACATTTATATCTTCATCTTCATCTTCATCTTCATCTTCGTCTTCATCTTCATCGACACCCGTGAGGAACTTGGTCAGTGCTCACATTTTACACTGAGGAAATTGAGACCCAGCAGAGGTAAGCAGCTTCTTTCTCAAGATCACAACTTTTACCCCTGGGGAAGTTCATAGGAACTTCTTTAAGGTGGGCTATGTAATAAGAATCCCGATGAGGTAAGCTTCTGGGTCTTGATTTTGTTCTGTCTTCTGAGCACTGGGAACATATCCTAACATTCTCTGTCACCACGTGCTGTAAGGATAGAGCAGCAGCTGCTGCCTTGGTCTTGGGAAAGCCCCCAGAGCAAGCCTTGTCTACTCAGAAGCTATGTCCTCGGAGCAGGGGTGGGGGATGTTAGTGGGGGGGGGAGTTGGGGTGGCATGGTCCCTCCATCCCTCTACAAGCCCAGTTAATGGCATTTGGAGGTGGAGGCAAACTGACCTGGGCTGAATTTTGGATCCCCAACCTACTAGCTCTGTGACCTTGAGAAACTTGTATGATTCCTCTAAATTTGATTCTCATCTATAGAACAAAGATTTTTATGACAGTTGTTGTGAGGACCAGACAGCAAATATGTAACAAATGGTAAGTATAAATTAGAGCAAAACGAATGGTCCTGGCCAGTTTCAGAGATCCCTTGTAATTCCATTTCCAATTTATTTACCTTAATGTTTCTTAAAAGTCAGCAAGGATGCTGGGGATTCATTCAAAATATATCTCCAGATCTTCAACAGATACTTAATTGACAAAGAACATTTGATAACTTGATGTGGTTTTTTAAACTTTTTTTTTTTAAGATTTTTATTTATTTATTTGACAGACAGAGATCACAAGTAGGCAGAGAGGCAGGCAGAGAGAGAGGAGGAAGCAGGCTCCCCGCGGAGCAGAGAGCCCTATATGGGGCTCGAGCCCAGGACCCTGTGATCACAACCCGAGGAGCCGAAGGCAGAGGCTTTAACCCACTGGGCCACCCAGGCGCCCCAACTTGATGTGGTTCTTAATCAAGGACCTAGAAATAAGAACTACTACACCTATAGGATTAGAAATCTTTTCATTTGCAAAGACCTATTTGGAGTGTTCTGGGCATAGTAATACTATAATTACTATATTTAACAGCTTATAAAGCACACGCCAAGCATATTCCTTGCCTGTTTACTAATGTCTAGGTATCAGCCTTTTAATGGTATCCATCAGCCTTGAAAATAAAAGTGAAATAACTTTTGAAACTGTAGTTCTCAAGCTTTAGTGTGCTCAGAATCTTGAGGAAACCTTGTGAAATGCATAGATCTCAGGTAGGCAGGGCTGAGAAATCTGCATTTCTCAGTATCCAGCCTTGTTCTGAAGCTTATGCTCCTCAGAACATACCTTAAGAAAGGCTGTCCTAAGGGTTTTCTGTCCAGCTACTCTTTCTTGAAGCTTCCCAGGAAAAACCCAAACAAACCCTTTCATTTACCAGTAGCAGTAGAAGAGCAATAGTTAACTCTTGAATTACAATAGATGTTTCCTCCTAATCTAAATGATTTAAGGGCACAGCTTCATTTGTTCCAGCTATATTATATTCTATAAAAAAACAGGATTCACAAGAAGCTTGAGGTAGGGACTGATTTCCCTCACCAGCTCTGATCGCTGGGCTGTGATGGATTTAGTTCTCTAAAGCAAGTAATTTCTTCTTTTTCCATGAGAGATTGGAAGCAAAAAGGAAAAGAGGAGTGAGTAAAAGGAGGTGATAATAGATGGTTTGTACAATGTGGGCTAGAAATAAAGCTGTCCAAAGAGAACTGAAGCTGAGTTCTTTCACCACACATCTAAAGATTCATATCGGGGTCTAAACAAGGTATGTCAGGTAGCTTAATTAGAAACTCCTGGACTATGAGTTTCACACACTCATGGGTGGGCCAATGGCTACTTTATTATTTAGGCTTCAGCAAAATGAGATAATAGCAATTATCCAAAAGGATTTGGATTAAAAAAAAAACCCACCTATTATCTTGTGCCTTAAAATAAAGCCCTGCTTTTAAACACAGCATATCACTGTTGTTTTTGAGTTTAAATATTAAGAAGAACATTTTGTTAATGATTAAAACAATACTGATTGTTTTAGGGGGCTCAGTGAACACTTAATCTGTCCTTATTCTAGGCAGTGTGTGGAAGGAGCACACTGCCTAATGCTCCAGGATGGACATTAGGTAACTACTTAATGGAATTTTAATTTGTTTCATTATTAGTAGTAATTGATGTAATTCTGGGGGTGCCTAGTTGGCGCAGTTGGTTAAGCTTCTGACTCTTGGTTTTGGCTCAGGTCGTGATCTCAGGGTCTGGAGATAGAAGCCAGCATAGGGCTCTGTGCTCAGTGCAGACCGAGTCTGCTTGAGACTCTCTCTCCCTCTCACTCTACAGCCCCCACCCCTCGCTGTGTGTGCTCTCTCTCTCTCATATAAATAAAATAAAATCTTTTTAAAAAGTTGACGTAATTCTGACTATGTTGGAAGCTGGAAGTATCCTGTCAGTCATCCTTTCAGGGTGGTGGTATTGCCCTGCCCTGTTTAATCAGAGGTTTCTAGAAGAGGTGAGCTCAGGTGTGATTTAAAATGAAAGAAGATAGGTGTTTAATGAATTTCAATTAAAAAATGAAATCATTTTTAAATTGAAAAGGGGTATGGAAACTGTCTGTCCTAATCCATTCCTTCTGCTGCTGAGAAAACCAAGGCCCATAGGAATTAAAGAACATGCTCAAAGCCGTACAGTTTGTTTCTGTTGTTTGAGGCATTATTAAGCTAAAAGACCTCACAGGCCTAACCTGGAAAAGATGGCAGGATGCCTTGGCCCTGCTCTCACAGTTGTGTGTCTCCCCCCATTTCATCTAATTCCAGACTTTGGTGATCTGTGTTCCACATAGGAGGTAGTTCCTGTTTTCTAAATATTGAAGGTGTGTTAATGTAAAAGTCTTTGTAGATGAGGTACCTAGGACGGATACCTGTTTAAGTAAAGACCTACATGTTTTGCTGGGACAGTGAAGAGTAGTAGCTATCCCAGGGTAAGAAATCCGAACAGAAAAGGCACAGTCCTCCAGCACTCCCTGGTCTACCCTGAGCTCAGGGCTGTGACCCTCAGCCCCGCCCTGCAGTATTAGCTCAGAAGTCCAAAGCAGAGCCTGTGATTTACTTTAGGGCTCTGGGCAAGATCCTTTAACCTGGTTGTTCTTCCCTGTTTGTAAACCAGGGAGATGATGCTGATAGCTCCCGCACTGCTGCATGAGAGACACCGTGTGAAATTAACTCCTGTTTGGGAAGGTTTTAAGCACACATTCCACCTCCCTGCTAATATGATTACTAGCACTTTCGTGTAAGAAAGGGCCAACGCCTCACCCTTTTCTTCCTTTAAAAACAGAACAAAGGGTGTCTTTTCTTGTCTCCCTGTGGCCAAAAAGGTTGCTGCTTTGGTGGTTGGTTAACTCCTGAGAAGGTCAGTTTGCTGAGTTTAAGTATTCCCAGGTGTGCCACAAATAAACAACAATAACAACAAAAATGACCTCTGTGGTGGTTCTTAAGAGGGTTTCTGAGTGATAATAAGCAGGCTTTTCTAACTGTAAAAACATGGCCCCAGCCTGTCTCCATGCCACCACTGTCCTCAAAAGTGTTAGGCCTGGGGTGGGAGGGGAAAACTCAACTGTTTGTTGGGGCCATATTTCTGAGGGTCATCGCCAAGGCTTTCCACAAGAAGCATTGAAAACAATGTTTTGGGGGGCACCTGCGTGGCTCAATGGGTTAGGCCTCTGCCTTTTGGCTCAAGTCGTGATCTCTGGGTCCTGGGATCGAGCCCTGCATCGGGCTCTCTGCTCAGAGGGCAGTCTGCTTCCCCCCCCACCCCCCCGCCTCTCTGCCTACTTGTGATATCTCTGTCAAATAAATAAATAAAATCTTAAAAAAAAAAAAAAAGAAAACAATGTTTTGGAAGGAAAGTCACCTTTCGATAGCCAAAGAAGTACCTCTTAGAGCACACAGTTCTGCGCACAGCCTGTTTCTCACTGTTTGGAAATCCTTTAACAGTTTGTGGAAGGCCACTCTTTAAAGCAATCCAACAGCTCCTTTTTCCATAACCTGATTTTAGAGGTGTTTCATTATCTCTAATTACTTGGGGTAAATGGTGATTACTCAGTGTTTTAATCATCAGTTTGGGCAGCAGTTACTCTAAACTCGGGGAAGCCCAGACTCCCATGGGTATTTTTGGAAGGTACGGCGACTAGTCGGTGCATGCTTTCTAGTACCTCTGCACGTGGTCCCCAGGTGAGCCCCGGCTGCTTCCCCGAGCTGGAAGCAGCGTCGTCCCGGCCAGGGCAGCAGCTGCAGACTCAGGAGCAGCCAGGGCTTCCGGGACCCTGGCCTGCGAGGCGAGGCCCGGCGGCTGGATGGGAGGATGTGGGCGGGGCTCCCATCCCAGAACGGAGGCGAGCGAGGGCGGAGGGAAGAAAGGAGGGGCTGCCGGGGACGAGGAGGAGGAAGGAAAGAAAGAAAGAGCGAGGGAAAGAGGGGGGAAGGAGAAGATGCACGAGGGCAGAGGAGGAGGGAGGGAGGGAAGGAGAGCGGAGCCCTGCCCGGAAGCTAGGTGAGTGTGGCATCCGAGCGGAGGGACGGGAGCCTGAGACGCTGCTCCGGGCTGAGTATCTCGCTTCTCTCCCTGATGGGATTCCCATCCGCGCCGTCTCGAGCCTGCAGCACCCCAGTCCTCGGCCCTTGCTCAGGTTCACTGCAGCCGTTCAGAGGTCCCCAGGAGTTGCTGCTGGCGAGCCCGTTACTGCAGGGACCTATGGTGAGCAAGGCTACCTGGCGAGGGGTGCCGGGCAGAGGGGGCCGGGGAGCATCCGTGGGGGGGAACAGCGGGGGTGCTCAGCTTCTGGCCCCACTCAAGGTGGCCTATTTTCCCCCAACGGTGGTGCTAGAGGTAGGGATGCTGGCGCTGAAGGACACCTCCGCAGCTGCTACTGCCTCTACCGAGGCCACTTTCTCCGGCGGCCCCGGGCGATTTTCACCTTTGGTAGGTTCCGGGCAGAAGAGATGGGAAGAAGAGGAGCCTTTAGTTGGGGGTCGCTGGGAAAGACTGCGAGGTCTTGAGCGGAATGCGTTGCGGGGGCTCTGGTGTTCGCGACCCCCGGACGGGAAGGGCCGAGACAGAAAGGACTGTAGCTCCGAAGTCCCGACAGTATGAGGGGGCCGAGGGACCGCGAGGTGGAGGAAGAACACCTAACCAGGGCTGGTTCTGCTGCCGGGAGCGCGGTCCTGCTACCTCCGGAGCCTACGCGCCGCCCTAGGGGCTGCGGGCTACGTCGAGGCGAGTGTCACCCGACCCGGTCCCCAGCCGGCGGGAGCCCCTGAGAGCACGCGAACTGAGGCTGCACGACGGGCCTTATCCACAAGCTGTTTTCTGGAACTTGCAGCATCCAAGGAGCCTCTCCCCTATCATTTCCTGGTGTAGGGTCTGTAGGGTCAATGGTCGGGATGCCTGGCGCTGCGGGCACGCGTCTTCCTGCGGTGTCGTGGCCCATAGGGAGTCGCTGGAGAGACGCCCTGCGCACCGAGGCTTATACTGGTCCTCCCAACCCAGAGCCAACCGTCAAAGGTCCGGGAATTCCCGGGTCCCTGCGGACCCTTCCCCGCCAGAGCTGGGCCGAAGGCCTCAACCGCTTCCTGCGCACCGCTTAGGTGGATGGACTGTGAGGAGCGCAGTTTGTGGGCTGAAAGCTTTGTGAGACGTTAACCGCGCCCCCCCCCCCCCCCCCAAAAACAGACTTGGGAAACCCGGGCCCCCCCTGGGCAAACTTCGGCGTCGGGAGAAGTCTTTGGCGGGGAAGGAAAGGACAACGCCACGAGTTCGTCCCTGGCACCCTCTCCCCCCCCAGAAAAAGTTCTGGAGACGGACGTCCTTTGGGGCTTTTATCTTTTTTAATCAAAGAAAAAATGGGGAAGGGGGTAATTGCGTGATTAGAGACGAATCCTACGAAATCCAAAATTGAAACACTACCCGGGGAGTCCGGCCCCCGGGTTATAGAGCTGCGCGCTCCCAACGCCGCCCGGGGAGATTCCTAGGGGCAGAGGATAGTCGGAGAGATCCTGGGCGCCCGCCCCTTCCACGGGCCCTTCGCCCCGCGGGGACTGGCTCTTCTCCGTCTGCTTTTCCCACTTCTACAGCGCTTCCCACCGGGCACATCTAGGGTTCCAGGCGTCTGAAAACCAACCAACCAACCAACCCACCCACCCACCCACCCCTCTTTGCTCTCCCAGCCCCTTCGCAGTCAGTCCCAGCGGTGGCGAGGGAGCGGGAAAACCGTAGATCGGCTCACGGAGCGGCGCGGCTGTCGCGCGGCGCCGACGGTCGCGCAGGGGCGCCCACGGCCTCCACTCCCCGGCCGGCGGTGTGGGGCAGCGCTGGGCAGCCGGGGATCCGAGGGAGAGCTAAGCGCTTCTTTACTCTTCCTCAAACGCTTCCCGCGCGTGCCCCCAAGAAGAAAACCAAATTTGTGAGGGAGAGAGGCGGGCAACCTGAGCCCTGGATCTCTGAAGAGACCCGAGGCTGGAACTTGAAAGAGCCTCGGAAGGGAGGGCGGGTGCAGTGGCCTTGGGAGCAGGAGTCTGGGGTTCGGGACCCCGCGGCGGGCTGGGGCCGAGGCAGAGTCGCGCGGGTTAGGTTTTTGTGAAGGCCTCCGTGCAGAACGACCCATGCACGCAGCATCTTCCCTTAGAGTCAGGACATCCCGGTAATTCCTTGAGCTGTGGGTTGGTTAAGATTCTTGAAGAAATATTTGCTGCGACTCTGCAGCTGGTGCAAAGGAGGAAGGGGGTGGGGGGAGGAAGTGGCAGGGGGGGGGGGGGAGGAGTGGTGGTTTCAAAAATAAGACAATCTGGAGAAAGAGAGCGAGAGACGCAGACACAGAGGTCGAGCGCAGGCCGAAAGCTGTTCACGGTTTTCTCGACTCCTGGGAACGCGGTGGGATTTCCTTTCTGCGCCGGGTCGGGAGCTGTAAAACCTCAGCGACATTAAGACCCGAAACTTGTGATGCGCCCTTTCCGCGGCGACGTCTCCTTTTGAGTCCTCCCCTCCGCCTTGAATGGCTCGAGGACCGTTTTCTTTGGGGATTTGCTTTGCTCGGAGTGGACCCCGAGGCTGACGCGGTGCGGAGATTCTCTCCGAAATGGAGCGGCCGCTCCCTCCCCAGTTTCCCACAAGGATCTCCGCCTAACACTTCCCCCTCCGGCCGGGTGCGTGACAGGGGCGGCTGCTTTCGGCTGGGAGCTCGAGCGCCAGCCCGGCTAGTCCGAGCACTCGCAGGAGTTCGCCAGGGGGTGACTGGCTGTCGCTGAGAGCAATATTTGGCCTCGCCGAGACCCCGGGGAGGAAGTGGCGGGGAGCGCGCGCGCGCGTATTTGTCTGTCCCTCAGCGCTTTCCTTTTTAAGTGCCCCTGGGTTGGTGAGGCTTTGAGCTGCTGAGACGCCGCCGCCCCCGCTCCCGGCCCCATTTGAGCCATGTTCGCGCTGGAGGCGCAGCCCCCTCGGTGCGCCCCAGATCCTCCGGCTTCAGGCCGCTGGCGCGAGGGCCCGAGCCGCTGCACAGAACGTCGCAGGTAGAAGCGAGGACGGAGGCCTCCGCGAACCGCACCCGGGAACGGGCAGCGGGCTGCGCCGAGTACGGCGCGGAGCTCCTCCTGGACGGCTGGCGGCTCCCGCGGCCCGCGCGGGGGTTGGCCTCTCCTGGAGGGGGCGGGGCCGCGGGAGGAGGACGCGCGCGCCCTTTCGCCGCCCGCCGCGGGAAGGGCGGGCTCCTCCGTGCGCGGGGCGGGGCCTCTGCGTTCACGTGACTCAGAGGGGCTGGAAGAAAAACAGAGCCAGTCTGCGCCAGAGTCTCATTATATTCAAATATTCATTTTAGGAGCCATTCCGTAGTGCCATCCAGAGCAACGCGCTGCCGCAGCTCCTCTGAGCCTTTCCAGCAAGTTTGTTCAAGATTGGCTGTCAAGAATCATGGACTGTTATTATATGCCTTGTTTTCTGTCAGTGAGTAGACACCTCTTCCTTCCCCCCCTTCCTGGGATTTCACTCTGCCCTCCCCACCCCTGCTCGCCTCGGGTCGCTCCCGTCGGACCTTTTTTTTTTTTCCAGAGTTCACACTCCGCTTTCTGGCAGCGCTGTCGCTTTCTTCTTGGCCGGGCAGCCGCTGGGCTCTGAGCGTACCGGTTTTGTTTAAAGCTCTGCTTGTTCCCACTCGCACTCTCAGATGGTGTGCGTTGCAAGAAAGGGGAGCAGGAGGGGGCTAAAGAGATGAAAGGTCCGCAGCCCGGGGTTGTACTTTCTGGGAGAAACACACACACACACACACACACACACACACACACTTAACTGGGGAGCGCCCAGCGCCCCCGTGCTTGTTCCCAGCTGCTTGTCAATACTCACAGAGGTCTCTCTCGGAACCATCCCCACTCCCCCCCCCCCTGCTTTCCTGGGAGTGAGTGAGCGGGCGCGATCAGATGCTTTTTGCTGGGCATTTCAAACTCATCAGCCACAGTAAAATAAACCGTCAAGCCACTCACTCGGTCAGCTCCCAGACCACGTTCTGGTCTCAGCCTCTGGACCCCGCCGCCCTGAGTCTTCGCCCACCCTCCTGCTCCGAACCAGCTGGAAGTTGTGGAAGTTGGGCTCCGAGGGCGGAGGAAGAAGGGGGGTGGAGAAAAAGGGAGAGAGGCTGAAGGTCTGAAGTGGAGAGCGATGGCATTTTAGTTCTCCCTCCCCCACCCTTTTTTACCCCCTCAATGTTAACTGTTTATCCTTGAAGAAACCAAGCTGAGATCATGGCTCAGATAGCAGTTGGGACAAAAAAAGATTAACAGGATGGAGGCTATCTGATTTGGGGTTATTTGACTGTAAACAAGTTAGACCAAGTAATTACAGGGCAATTCCTACTTTCAGGCCGTGCATGGCTGCAGCTGGTGCTGGTGGGGGTGTGTGAGGGAGAAGACACAAACTTGATCTTTCTGACCTGTTTTACATCTTGACCCTCCATCACTAGCCTTATATGCATATGCAGAGACATCTCTGTTTCTCTCTCGTTATTGGTGTTTATTTATTCTTTAACCTTCCACCTCCTCCCCCTCCCCAGAGACACCATGATTCCTGGTAACCGAATGCTGATGGTCGTTTTATTATGCCAAGTCCTGCTAGGAGGCTCGAGCCATGCTAGTTTGATACCTGAGACGGGGAAGAAAAAAGTCGCCGAGATTCAGGGCCACGCGGGAGGACGCCGCTCAGGGCAGAGCCATGAGCTCCTTCGGGACTTCGAGGCTACACTTCTGCAGATGTTTGGGCTGCGCCGCCGCCCGCAGCCTAGCAAGAGCGCCGTCATCCCAGATTACATGCGGGATCTTTACCGGCTCCAGTCTGGGGAGGAGGAGGAGGAAGAGCAGATCCACAGCATCGGTCTGGAATACCCTGAGCGCCCCGCCAGTAGGGCCAACACCGTGAGGAGCTTCCACCACGAAGGTCAGTCTGTGGGGAGAGTCCCTGGCAGGGGAGGGCTAGTAGGGCTGGTTGGTGGGGCCGTGGAAGCCCTGGGGGAGAAGAGTTCAGGTTACATCAAAGCCCCAAATCCTGGACGCTGGAGAACAGAGCTGCTTACCTCCAAGAGCTGTGGCTGAATTTAGTTTTTGGAGACAGAGGGGAGGGGTTCGGGGGAAGGGGAATGACACCACTCAGACGTGGGCTAGCCCCTGTGGTGTGTTTTTGCTATATCAAAGCCTTTTTTGCCAGGTTTTCTGCCCGTTTTTTTCAAAGCACCTACTGAATTTAATATTACAGCTGTGTGTTTGTCAGGTTTATTCAATAGGGGCCTTGTAATCCGATCTGAATGTTTCCTAGCGGATGTTTCTTTTCCAAAGTAAATCTGAGTTATTAATCCACCAGCATCATTACTGTGTTGGAATTTATTTTCCCCTCTGTAACATGATCAACAAGGCATGCTCTGTGTTTCCAAGATCACTGGGGAAATGTTTAGTAACATACTCGAAAGTGGAAGAAGAGGGAGAGGGTACTTGTGTGCATGTTTCCTCCTGCCTCTGCTCTGTTGGCCCCCCCTTTTTCTTTATAACCACTTGTAAAGAAAACTGTGTACACAAAGCCAAAGAGAGCTTTAAAAGGGGAGTCTGATGGTGGTGGAGTAAGGAGTTGACACATGGAAATTATTAGACATATAAAGGAGGTTGGGAGATACTTTCTGTCTTTGGTGCTTGCTGAATGCTAGCTAAGTTTTGCTGGTTTGCTAGCTGACCATTTATCTGTTCCTTCAGATTAAAAGATATGCTTATTTCCCCAAATGGGCTTTCACTATGTAAGCAGAATTCAGCACCCATCACTCAAAGCTTCTTGACCGAAGCTATTTCTTGACTTTTAGATTTCTCAAAAAAGTTAATGTGCTTTTATTTTTTTTTTCCTTTTCCCTTTTTCTTTTTTCTCCTCGACTATGCCTAGAACATTTGGAGAACATCCCAGGGACCAGCGAAAACTCTGCTTTTCGTTTCCTCTTTAACCTCAGTAGCATCCCAGAGAATGAGGTGATCTCCTCTGCAGAGCTCCGACTCTTCCGGGAGCAGGTGAACCAGGGCCCTGATTGGGAGCAGGGCTTCCACCGAATAAACATTTATGAGGTTATGAAGCCCCCAGCAGAAGTGGCGCGTGGGCACCTCATCACACGACTACTGGACACGAGACTGGTCCACCACAATGTGACACGGTGGGAAACTTTTGATGTGAGCCCTGCGGTCCTTCGCTGGACCCGGGAGAAGCAGCCGAACTACGGGCTGGCCATTGAGGTGACTCACCTCCATCAGACACGGACCCACCAGGGCCAGCATGTCAGGATTAGCCGATCGTTACCTCAAGGGAGTGGGGATTGGGCCCAGCTCCGGCCCCTCCTGGTCACTTTTGGCCATGATGGCCGTGGACATGCCTTGACCCGACGCCAGAGGGCCAAGCGGAGCCCCAAGCATCATCCACAGCGGGCCCGGAAGAAGAATAAGAACTGCCGGCGCCACTCGCTCTATGTGGACTTCAGCGATGTGGGCTGGAACGACTGGATTGTGGCCCCACCAGGCTACCAGGCCTTCTACTGCCACGGGGACTGCCCCTTTCCACTGGCCGACCACCTCAACTCAACCAACCATGCCATTGTGCAGACCCTGGTCAACTCTGTCAACTCCAGTATCCCCAAAGCCTGTTGTGTTCCCACCGAACTGAGTGCCATCTCCATGCTGTACCTGGATGAGTATGACAAGGTGGTACTGAAAAATTATCAGGAGATGGTAGTAGAGGGATGTGGGTGTCGCTGAGATCAGGCAGTCCTTGGGGACACACACGTTCCTGTCCACTCACCCACACACTACACAGACTGCTTCCTTATAGCTGGACTTCTATCTTTAAAAAAAAAAAAAAAAAAAAAGAAAGAAATGAAAAAAAAACCTAAACATTCACCTTGACCTTATTTATGACTTTACGTGCAAATGTTTTGACCATATTGATCATATATTTTGACAAAATATATTTATAACTACATATTAAAAGAAAAAATAAAATGAGTCATTATTTTAAAGGTACACTGTTCCTTTTCTCTTTAATCCTTTTTCCTTCTGCCCCATCTCTTTTGAATTAGATTTTTTTTTTCCTGTTGAGGAGGGGCTGGAGGCAGGTTGGAAGTCAGAGGGTGGTAACTGGAGGTGGTTAAGTTGGAGGAACAGGAAGTAAACTGATGGTAGAGAGATGGTAATTGCCAGGATGAATTGTTTTCCATTTCTATTTAATGTTAACAAGGACGCAGTATCCTCTCCCATCTGGATGACACATGCCTTGGAGAAACAGTGGGATGAAAGGAGCAGGCCAGATTAAAGACTCAGTTTTGGGCTCCTTGTACATCTCCTGTTTTTGCTCACCTGTTAGAGGTGCGTCCCAGCTGAGTGTGATGGATAGAGTCTCATCCCTAGGGAATAACTCCCACCGCAGCTTTTATGATACCCTACGGTGTCTCCAGTCATGATAGGCACCAATGTACTAACTTGCACGTGAGTGTGCATGTGTGTGTGTGTGTGTGTGAGAGAGAGAACAGGATTTCAGGGTTGTGGTGAAGTGGGTTTTATTCAATAGAACAAATAATGTGCCTTACCTTCGAATAGTTTGGTGACCACACTTTAATATTCCACATGGTGGAATTCTCCAGTGCTTCTTGACTTTTTCCCCTTGACTCCTAGTCCCCACATGAAAGCCTTCATGCAGTTCAAAATTCTAACAGTTTGGGCTGGAAGACAATGGGATCAGAAACTGAAGGGTCAAAATTTCTAAGTAGGCACTGTGAAAACATTGTCCTTTATGCAATCTCAAGTCAAATGCCAGCTCCCCTCCTCTAGAGCTGGGCAGAAAGGGAGTTACCTAGTGGATGTGCTCTTCTGAGCCAGGATGTCTTCAAGGAGAAAAGTCCAATTTGGGGCCAAAAGGAAAATGCTAGTATGTTGAGTATCCCTCATTTAGGGGCTTGCCAGTAAGGCAGAGAATTGGCTCTCCAGAATGACATGTATATAAAAGCTAAGAGGACCAGAGGAAGAGACCTTGGCTTTTTCTTACTTGCCACTAGCAACTAAATTCAGCCTTGGCATTTTGGCCTGCTTAGGTTCATTTCTTATGTGTGTACTTTTCCCTGCACAGTCTCGGGTAGGTTTGGGACAAAAGCTGTGTCTTCGTACTGTCTTTGTGAGGTGGACTGATAGGAGTATGTTTCTTCCTCATGAAGGTGGAGGTACCAGTGGTAGTGGTGGGGTGTGTGGTGTGCACCCACCCCCTGCATTCATGTACACAACTCTTCTGTATGCTCTTGGTGGTGGGGTAGGTGAAGCAGGACTCATTTTTGTTTTTAATTACTGAAGTCCTACAATCCTCCAAAAGGAGCAGCTTAGTGGAAACCAATAAAAATAGAAGTGGAGCGGTTGCCAAAGCCCCAGCTCCCCGGAGAGCGCAGGTGGAGAGAGGAGATCAGAGCCCCAGGCAAAGGCAGCAAGACTCCACAGTTCCTCCAGAACTCCCTGCATAGAGGGATACTTCTCTCCCTCTTCAAGCCCCCTAGGTCGCTGCCCCTTTGATTAATGGTATGGAGGTCGAATAAATCATTTAAGGGAAGCCCATTATGGGTTCCCCTCAGGCGGGCTCGATTTGTTTTGCCCGATTTCCAGCAACTTTCTGAAATGTCCGTGTTATTGGAAAGGAACCCGCAGATCTCTAGCGCTTGGACAAATTCTAAGAGGGCGAATCCGGAGCCTGGTGGCTGCCGGGCTCAGGTCACTTTCTAGCAACACCCTGCCCCCCACAACCTCCCCCTCCTTCTACTGGCTTATTTTCAGGAATGGATAATGTTGTTTATTTGTTCAGCCAAATATTTGGTCTGGGGAATTTACCGTGAAATTCTGTGAATTGCATATACCTAGTTAACAAAATAGTCCTAATGCCACAAATGCTAGCATGAAAAACAACGAGCTACGGCCAGCTTTAACTCTTTAAATTCTGTTTGAGGTCATAGTCCTGAGGTCCGGGGAGATAAGGGGTTGAACGTGTGTGGAGATGATTTAATTTAGGTTTCAGCGTTATATTTTGGACTAACGCTCGACCGAGTACTTTATGGAAGCTGTAGACTGATACTCGGCAACGTTTTTTGGATCCAACCTGCCGTCGCCCGTCCCCCGTCCCCCGACCCCGTGTCTCTTCCCCAGAGAAAGGAGAAAGATGGGGAGGGAGAATCGCTCTTGAGGAGTTCAGCAAAGTCGTAAGCACATCAGAAGAGCTGCTCGGTCGATCCCAGCCCAACCTTTAAACTGGAACCGACTTCCTAGGAGCTTAAGGAAAAAGAGGGGAAGAGGAGAAGGGAGTCGGGGCCCGGAACCCATCACACATTTCCCGGCTTTCGTTGCATAATGCGCTCGGAACCTGCCAGGGGACCTGCTGACTTTGTTTTCTGTCTTGACCGTGCTTCATTCCACCAGCCCCTTGCCGCCGAGCAGCACCACACTGAGAGGGCTTTGGGCAGCCGCGGCGCTGGCGGACCCCAAGAATCACCGGGCCTTGGACCGACGTCAAGATCCGTCCCCACAGGCTCCGCCCCGCGCCTGCTCCGGGAGCTCCCCCGGCCGGCGGCAGCTGCGGCGGCGGGGGCGCCAGGGGGCGTCCTACCCGCCGGGGACTAGACCGGGCACTGGGCGGCGGGGCGGCAGATGCACCGCGCGGGCTCCCTCCTCGCAGCGCGCTCGGAGCCAGACTGCAGATTTCAGCCCTTCCCCCCGCCCCCCAGCCCCGGCCCCACTCCCTACCCCCGGAGCTGACCAACCGTCCAGCTCGTCCTCGATCTGAGCCCGGGGGCTCAGGTGAAGCTCTACAAAGACAGATGGATCTGATTAGTGCACGCGGGTCCTAAGGGCGGGTGCTCGGCACATTTAACGTGAAATGGGGTCAAGCGGCCGTGCAGAGCGGTGGAGTCTGGGGAAAAATCTCACCCGGGTGGAGAGGCGTAAGGAGGGTCGAGATCTTTAGGCTTTTCCGCGGCGGCGGGCGGAAAGCAAAACGAGCGACCAAGGCTGTGCTTGCACAACGCTCCCAGTGGGTCTGCATAAAACTGGGAGCATGGGAGAACAGACCCCCTGACAGAGGGTCGGACATCAGGCTGGTCGCGCTGGCTGTCCTCTCAGCTTCCTCGGGATGCACAGAGCCCTGGGGTCCCGCTGAATTGCCTCCACGACTCCCCATTGCAGGGAAGGAGACCAGAAGAGGCCGAGGGCGTGCAAGAATGGGTGACTGATTTCTTTCAGAAATTAGATGCCGAGCCCATAATTCTTGACAGCACCAAGGCTGAACTCCTCTGGGCCTCCCAGGGACGCCCAGCGTCCCTGCCCTCATCCAAAGTCCAGAGCTCAAACTGGTGACACCCCCCCCCCCCCCCGCCGATGAATCAAGGAAAATAAAGCTTGAGACCCAAGTCTCCAAACTCTTTGTGTTCTGTGATACTTTTGCTTCAAGACACAGCAAATCGTATAAAATGTACACACGTTCTCTTTTTTAGATGAAAAGAATAATACAAAAGCAACATTGGTGACCCTATATTACATGAGAAATCAGAAACTTATTAGTACGCCCTGGAGGAATTTAGGGTAACTGGGGGACTGCGGAGGTAGAATTGATGCAGAATTATTCTGGCATATTATTTGAGATAAACTATCATCATTCTAAAAACTAGAAATACATTGAGTGGTTACAAATGTAGCCCCTGTGGCCCCATTTCCCCATGTTTTCAACACTTAGCGGCAGAATAAATACACGATTCAAAACTGCAGTGGTCGCCCATGAAGCAAAGTGGCTGGTTTTAAGGAAAAAAAATTGTCAATTGCTCTAATATTCTTGAAAAACTGGAAAGTTTGAAAAATAACTAAGAAAACTCAAGGTAGGCCACATTTAGTAAAGCCTGGAAAAAGAAATCAGAGTATTTGGTCACTGAGGAAGCCATTTGAAATTAGAATTCATAAGTCACTTTACCTAAGGTATCAACTAAACCAAGTTCCAATTGTCTCTGCTTTTTCTCTCTCTTCAAAGTAGTCGCTAAGAGCCCTGAATGAAAATATAAATGCTGTTCTGTGGTTCAGAACTATTCAGAAAATATAACACTATAGGATTCATTACTATAGAAATGTTTACTTCAAAAATGTGAAATGTGAAGAAAAGAAGACACGATAGAACAATAATTTGCTGAGTTTTGTTACTAACAAGAATTTCTTAAGCCTGGGTTTCAGTGGATTTCGCCCCAGTTTCTGAAGAAAAGATCTCATTGATCTCTCTTGACCTTTTATAACTTGGTTTCTAACAGAAATATTTTAAAAATGACTAGCTCCCCCCCCACCCCCAATCATAAGTTCTTGAATCCCCTTTGGTCAGGGTGCAATTAGATTCTGGTTTTGCATAGTTTCATTGTCAGTCCCTCAGCAATATGTTTTTTCAGTTTTATTAACTGAACCCATGGTCAGCAGATAATTTTCTTAGGGATCCAAGGCATACTGATCGAGAGTTTAAAATACCGGGTTCCATTCTTTACTCCTGAAATTGTTTCTCTGTCCCTCTGGTACTAGCAACTGACTCCTTCCTGTGCGTAGTTGCCCATAATTCAGTTGAGAAAATGTATAACTCTGTTCATCTTAAGCTTTATGCTGGTTTAATTTTCAATCCTTGTCATTTGTTTTCAAAGCAGTTTTAATTAAGGTAGGACTCCGGGGAAGAGTCCAAAGATATGTACTTTATTGGGGGTAGGGGAGAGGGAGAGAAAATTTCTAATTGAATTCAAGTTGACTTAAACTTATGTTGATTATTCTGAAAAATAGTGTAGAGCGGTTTTTCAAGGATAACAACAGGTATGGTTAAGGATACACCCAATATCCCTTGAATAGGCCTAGGATTCCAAAGTAGAAAAAGTATATTTCAAGAACTCATGAGAGCTATATAACCCAAAGCATTAGCATCACCTCCAGAAATTTTAGACTCAGAATTCAACGTGCATTGTAAGATCTCATTCTAGTTGCTTAAATGCAACCATGTCTTTCTCCTTCTATTGTTTCTAGTCTGTATTTAAATATTTTAAAGAAATTTATAAGAAAGCAAATTTGCTTGGAGCCTCATCATCCAAAAACAACTGTTTATGTTTTTCTCTTGTTGTTGTCGTTCAGCTTTTGTTGGTGTATTTGCATAACTTCATACTTTTATTTTTCCTTCTGCTTTTCTTAATTTCAGAAAATGTAATAACCGTAACATATTCAAGA